GGTCCAAACTTAAGCCCATCCGTGGCTAATGCATAAGTGGCTCCATTAATGCCACGATCATTGCCACGTGTTTGATGATTTTTGAAACGGGTGAACCGAGACAGTGGGCGCTGATCAAGGGCATGATTGATACGACTCCTGGATCTACCCTTTATACACACTTCCGGCGCGTGGACACGTAATTGGCTCTTTCCTTTGAGGTCCTGACGGACCTGTAAATTCCGGCGACCTCCTTTGGTGATCGCTTCAACACGCGGCATGTAAGAACTCTCCCCAGCACCATAGTAAGACTTCGGGAGGATACGAGGTGTAACTTCCTCAATCAAAATAACCTTAAAGGCCACTCTTTGATCCTCAACAAAAACATGCTCCGGCATCGTTTTTCCGGCAGAAACATAGAGAAGGATTCTCTCTCCGCTCACCGCCATATCCGCCTCAACACCTCTAAATCCACCACATAAATTTCCGATTTCTTCAAATAACTTATAACGCCTTAGGTGAAGGGGCAAGCCAAAGAACATTACCCTCCGTATGCTACGATCTTTCACTGCAAAACATCCAACCGCGAAATACCAAATGTCGATGGATAGTAATGCATCACCCCATCTTTTCCTCCTTTCATCCAGAACAGAACCCTTAAAGCCTCATGCTCCGACGAAAACCTGAACAGAAAAAGATTGTCGGGAAGGGAAAAAACCTTCACTCCGCTTGAAACCTTCCAAACTTTCGTCGCCCACGCCTCAATCCCTTCAATACACCCCACATCTCTATCAAAGCGACCAACCAAGCATGATCACAAGACAGATTCACGTTCCTTGATACTTTGATGATCAACCCTAAAGACCAGAATCACCGCCAATGGAACAACTTTTGATATCACCATTGAAGTTGAGACGAGGTAAGGTCGCAACACTAAAATAGGAGCGATGCATAACAGAAATCCATGCCAAAGAGCCAAGATCCAACAGCATAGAACATAAATGAAAACGGCTGACGCCGGAGTGAAAGACTCCGGCGTCAAAAAAAGAAGAGAGAGAAGAGAGAAAAGTCAAACATGGTCAACAGACATCTTATGGCCAGCCACCTAAAAAGCTGAAAATGCATGCTTATATGTTTGTCATCAAATCTGCACTATATCAGTCATGTGTCCTATGGTAGGTATAATAATAATTTGTCTAAGATATCTTTGAAGTGTAACAAGCCTCACTAAAATACAATAGTTCTCTAACAGATTTTACACCATCATCTCAATTCTCAAACAACGAACAAAACGAACGTCATCATTAATTCCATTAAACCAACTCCAAGGTCCACAGTGAATATAAAAAGCCTTTTACTTGGTTTATTCACAAGAAAATATACGGGATGTTAAGTTATTTTATATTTTATTCTCACTTTCCTAACAAATCAAGCATACGAGTCTTAATTTCCTATCAAGTTAAAATGACAAAGAAGAAGCAAAGATTGTGTTAGATACAAAAAGCTTATCACGGTGAAAATCACAAAGAAAGGCAATTGTAACTAGGTGCTACCGTGGTACATTTGTCCTCGCTCGCTGGTCTTTTCCCCTAAAAGAGTCTTAAAGAAGCAATATGCAGTGAAAATTCTAAGGAACAAAAATAGAAAATAAGTTCAAAAAGGAAACAACCGTTACTGTTAGAGTCAAAAGCCAAAATCCACACTGGACCAATAAATGAAAACTTATAGGATGGTTGAGAAATGGAAATGATTCAAGCAAGTGAGCAACTATGCCTTTTATGTTTTTTTTTTACTTCCTGTAAATCCTTTTTATGTTCTGCACATGTTGAACTTCCTATTACTTTTCCTCTTTTTTGCAGCACTATGAACAAATTAAGTTAATTTGTTCCTATAAGAAGTATATTAGAAAAAGACTAAGAAGACCTCCAATTTCTATTCTTTTGGAACACTAGAAAATTGATACATACACTAATCATCTCATACTGCGGATAAATTGATTATATAGCTTCCAAAATTTAAGATCACAAAAAGGCATGCCCTTGTTAGCATACTCAAAATATCTACTTGATTCAGCTTTCCCATGAAAGAAATGAAAGCATACTACGTTGTAGTAAAACTCTTAAAGTGCTAAACAAGGTTCTTCACTCTCTGAATGAAGATTCTTCAAGTACATTGACATTCACAAAATCATCTACAAACTCACAAGTTATCTACTTTTCTTTCTCTTACTGTGATAAATAATTTTTCATTAAAAACCCAAAATGGGTACTCAATTTGTGAAATCCCAACTCTGACCAAGGATTTTAAGGTACAAATAAATGTACCTGTTCATAAAGTTTTAAGCCTTGTAAGAATCTCATTAAAAAAGAGCACATACATGGTTAATTATTAGCTTTTTGAACCTGATCGCCACTCCTTTTGCTAAAAAACTTTATGATTACAAGAAACTAAAAACCATCAACCCAATAGAGACCTCCCATAGTTTCATATGAAACAACTATCAATAATTTCATTCCCAATAGAAATTAAAAGCAGTGCCCTCTACCAATTTCCACATACACATACATAAAACATGAATACATATGTGTGTGTATGTGTGTATATATATATATATGGAGGGATAAGATTTTCAAGAGCTCTTTGAGACTGGTGGTTAGACTCTGCTATTAAATTCCTCAGAATCTTGTACATTTTTTCTATGTTTGGAGTGACGTCGTCTCGCAAGGGCGTTTGTGGGTGAGACATGCCAGGATTCCCTTAAAAAGGTATTTGACATCTGACTTTTGAATATCTTCTTGTCCTCTATCTAGACTACTGTCATAGAGGATAGCTACGAACAATTTGGGAAGGATGGGAATATTCATGCCTAGTTGGTTTGCATCTATAAGAGGGGCTGAAAGGAGAACACTTAAACATATTTCCACCATTGTGTGGGAGGCTGGTAGCTCAAGAGTTATTTATATGGTTTTCTCTGCCTGGAAGACTTAAGGTTATGCCTAGGCTTGTCACCTACAGATTCTCTTCTTGAATGCTGCAAGGAGGCAGCGGTAGTAAGACAGATTATCAGGCATGCCAACTGATGCTTTTATGTCTGATATAGAGTGTTTAGTAGAAGTGAAATAGGCACACCTTTGAGGATGTGGAGATCTATGTTCATAGGCTTAAGAAAGCTATGTCAGATAATTTCCATTTTAGGATATCCGGAGGATTTCCGAACTCTTCAAACCTTTTTATGGACTTTTTAGGAATTTGAGTTGTATAGGAGTCTATTTTATCAACTCTTACATACTTTGAAAAAGAATAGTACTATTCATGCCCCTGTTCTCTTTTTGGGTCATTATCAGTAAACCAGTAAGTCTTACAACAATCCAGAGCTTCAAGAACTAAAAATTTGCTCCCAATTTACAAAATATGATGTTTAAGAAATTCAAAAGAGAAACATGTTCATATACTTAAAAAATTCCAAGAAATGAAAGGTTAACATATACAAAACCCAACAATAGAATTATTCTTTTACCTAGAAATCAATAATTTAGACCATTCAGATTAGTTCAAGTTCAGGCTTCCCATGCATAATAACAAAATAACACAACAGGCATCTCTAAAAACAGAAACAACACAAGAGATGTTAAACAACATACCTGTCGTTTAGAAAAGCTTGGTAAGAGCTGTCAATCCGGCAGCAACAATGGCAAGCGGCCTCCTAAGAAATCCCAATCCTGCAATTGCCAAAGCACACTCATACTAACACAAACACGTGCATATAAATTGAACACTCCTTCGCGTCTTTCTACCACGTGTATAAATACAGAGAGAAATAGATTGTAAACAAACCTAACAGCAGCGGTCGTCTGCAAATCGCCGAACACACCTTCGCGTCTCTAATGGAGGATTCCAGACTTAGGGTTTCTTCTTTAGGGGTTAGGGTTTGCTCCTATGGCCAACTGAAAGAGGCTTGATGGAAAGAGGGAAAAACATTTTCACAGGTAAGGGCTTCGAGAAAGAGTGATGAACAAACGATCTAGCTATGGAAATCAGCAAACTGGCTACAAACAAGCCTTCTATCCGAACCGCTGTACCTAAAGAACCACTCACCTTCTCGGTCGGTGTGGAGCGATAGTTGATATCGATAATAGTAGGTCGCATCAACACAGAAAGGAAGCCTCCGGCACCCATACATTAAGGTGAGCCTCATTGCTTTTCGTTCCGTATGTGACGGGAGGAGAAACTCCGATTTCAGCTTCGATCAACAAAGACGGATCCCAACCGACCAGATCTGATCTTCATCTTCGATCCGACTCAATCTTATTAGGAAACGAAGTTACAGAACCAAGTAGGAGTACTGCTTGAGAGTTAGAAGAGGATCGAGAAAGTCTTGCCTAAAGCCTGATTTCGATCACGCAGTGAGTATTTGTCCTTTCCCTTCCCTTCTTCTCCATTAAGAGTCCTAAGTTATCGATTTCTTGTTCAATTTCTTTGGTGTAAGCCCGAAGTTTTACATCGTAGTGCTTCTCTTCTCCTGCGTTTGTCAATAATTTTGTTAGTTTACTCCGGCGTTTGTCAGTAATTTTGTTACTTTACTCCAATCTCTCAGTATGCAATCTCTCAGTAAATGGACAATCAAATGGTAACATTTGATTCTTTTATCAAATTTATGAAGTGTATATTACTTTATACATACAAAAACATGTAAACGATGTGAGATAATCTATTCAAAACGCATTAAAATGCCAAAATTTTATTTTCAAACCATATAATTTTGCATTCTGATTGCATTTCCATTCACATTCAACAGAAATTTCACCATTCATATATAATTTTTGCCTTTGCTGTTATTATTAGATCATGTTCATGTTTTTTTTTTTTTTTTTTGGTAGATAAGGATAATTTTATAAAGAAAATATGCAAATTACATACAGAAGTTATAAGAGAGGCTGGTCCACAAACCGTGGACAGCCCACTCGCAAGAACCTTTTACAACCCAAAATAGTAAGCCCAGTATTTAGATCCAGTATAACACAAAGACAATGATAGTCTAAGACGATGAAGACTATGTTTGTCTAAGGAATACCCACAACCGGTGTAAAACAAAAGGGTGAGATCCCTAATCCGCGCGATCAGGAGGCTCCGGAGGAGGTTTGATGAACGCCGGCAAATTCCACTCAAGCTTAAGCCTTCTTGCACATGGTGAGTCTTTAACCAAAGTAGTTAACAGCTTTTGCCTAACAAGATCAGTAATTTGTTTGAAGATTGTTAGCTGATTGTGCTTCTGATTTTTGAAGATTCGGTCATTGCGCTCTTGCCAGATCTTGTTAATTGTTGTGGATAACACAAGCTTGTTGACTGAATTCTTCAAATTTTTACTTGACCAGCGAATCGACAGTTGATCAACCAAATCACTCCACCGAGAAGGGGAAAAGTAGAAATTGCACTTGTTTTGGAGAGCGATCTAGATTGGGCGAGTAAAAGAGCAAGCAAAGAACAAGTGATCATGGGTTTCATCAACAAGATTGCAAAGATGAAGTGTCTCATACTTGCTCTATCAAGGGTGGAAAGTCTTCTTTGTACTGCAAGCCACAAGGTAAATTTGCATCTTGGGATGGAGAGGTTGTTCCAAACCAGGTGTTGCCAATGTTTTGGATGACTGTGCGCCCCGAGCCATGCAATTGTGTGAGATAATAGGTATTCAAGACACTGTCAATCTAATTATGATTAGTTTATTAATTATGTAATCACTAGCCTATTTAAAGAAGTAGCATACTATGATCAATTTGTTTAATGGACGGGCACTTATAACACGTCACATAAAACAGACACTGTCAATCTAATTATGATTAGTTTATTAATTATGTAATCACTAGCCTATTCAAAGAAGTAGCATACCATGATCAATTTGTTTAATGGACGGGCACTTATAACACGTCACATAAAACAGGACACAATATGATGGTAATATCCCGTTTAATATATTTTTTTATTAACTTTGTTTTGTAATTGATTAGGTTCTCTTGGTTGTTCTCATTGTAGATTTGTTGGCATAGCTTGCAGTGCTATTGTGCAAATAAATAAATAGGTTTTTGATATGAATTCGTCCGTGGAGTCGAACTAGGCATGGCTTCCTAAGAACTTAGTGGATGTGATTATAGACAACTTAGATTCGCAATCGGACTATGTTCGCTTTGGTACAGTCTGCAAACCATGGCAATTTGTGACAGTGGAGATCAACGTTAAATATGTTAAAAATAAATGCTACACACAAGTTCCATTGTTGATGGTCCCTACAAAAGATAATAGTGAAGAAACAGGCCGTCTATTCCAAGGGCGGATATAAGGATGGGCTATGGTGGGCTTAAATCCACTCCAAAAAAAAAAAAATTTACTATACTAATTTTAGCCCACCTCAAAAAACAAAAACAAAAAATATTAATACAATTAACTCATCCAATCAAGCTCAAGTCAACTCAACCTCCATACTAAAATAAAGGCACAAGCCAAATAAGGACAGGGCCGGCCCTGACCCAATGTGACAAAGGCAGTCGCCTAGGGCCTCAAAATTTATAGGCCCATGGATGATAGGTCACCAAAAAGACAAAATATTTTTAGAGCAAATCATTTCAGCCTCCCCCAATCGCCTCCATCTCTATTCTCGTTCGACTCTGAACTTGCCCCCTCCCCAATCACCTCCATCTCTATTCTCATTCGACTCCTCCATCTCTATTCTCATTCGACTCTGAACTCCCCCCCCCTTTCTGCAACTGCAAACTACATAATCTACAAGAATCAAAAGTTCAAAACCCATATATTTCAATTTATCTATCTGTTTGCAAGAATCAAAAGTTCAAAACCTATATTACCTATATCAAAACCCATATTGCTTATGACATGATGTTGGATTGTTCACGGGAAAGAGGTGCAAAAGCAATCTTACCATGGCTGAGTGATTTAGACAGCCAGTAGCTCATTTGATCATGAAGGACATTCATCCAGCTGACACTGATATGAATCATTAGATTTTGTTTCTCAAGCAGCTCATTTCAAAACAATGCACCTGCGAGATTGAACTGTACTACTTTCCTCTCAACGACCAGTGATTTTTGTTTGATTTTTTCCTTTTAGTTTCAGTTTCTTTTTCCCTTTTGAGATGTTTCCACCTCAAGTGTAATGGACAATAAATTACATATTTGTGTAAGACGAGAGTTGGTCATGTGATGTCTCACACGGGGAGAAGTTGCTGGCACTTATAATGGAATGTCTCCTACTTGTAGATGAATTTAAAAAATGGTGAACAAGGAGAGTGTGCGAAATGGATAGTATCTACATGAGACGGATCTTGACAGATGGTATTAGAGCCGATCTTTAGCCGAAAATCAATTAGTGTGCTCAATCTCGTGAGGGTTAGGCTAGCGAGGATGTTGGGTCCTAAGTCTTAAGAGGGGGTGATTGTGATGTCCCACATAACTCTACTTGGCCCCTAAAAAACTAAAGAAGAAAATGCTATATAGTTGTGACTGCCAAGTAGTATACCACTCTTTTGCAGTAAACTCGGTTTAGATTTTCATTTGCTTTCCAGGGCAACCAGTGACTCAATTTGTAGTTAAACTGCGATTGTACATACCATGTAAAATAAGCAATTAATCAAGAGGAGGATAAAAGAGTTTTTTTAACGATAAAAGTGATGAATTCTCTACATTTAATCACAGGATGATATAGTTTATGGAGATTGATGAAAAGTCAAATGTCTTTCAATTAACTGAGGGCTCATGAGTATACAAGACGGGTTAAGCTTAAAGAACTCCCAATAATGGGCCTAATCCATCCAAGCCCAATTTAAATTGCTTTTCTGAAGCCCACATAGGGTGGAAGGTCTCGTAACCATTGGCATATTAGGTCTATTTAGCAAAGAGAACCCATCTGACAATGGATGGCCGAGATTTCATACATCCGATTCCAGTTCATCTTCACCGTCCAAAACTAGGGCAAAACTCGACCTCATCAATCCTTTCGCCTTTTAAACACTCCTTACTCCAAACCTCACTCTCTCTGCGCGGAAACTAGGGTTTTGTTCATTCGTGAAGAACGAGTTGACCTTCACTTCGCGGTAAGGTTTGTCTCTAAATCCATGGATAGTCTTTGTTTACGTGCCATTCAATTGGGTAACCTTCAAGTTTATAATATGATCGACTGAAGTTTTCACTGAAACGTTTCATTTTTAAAATTTTCACTAATTTCATCTGTTCTAACCTCCACTTTTCAAGTCATTTTATGTTGGATTTGCTTTTCCTCTGCTTTTTCAATAATGTGGAGACATCGATTTATTTCCATACATTTCACATATGAACGTGCTTTTATTTGTGTGTGCGTAACTGTGTATCTATGCATGTTTTATTTATATACTCTGAACTTGCCCTCTCTATCTGCAACTGCAAACTACAAAATCTATAAGTATCAGAAGTTCAAAACCCATATATTTCAGTTTATCTATCTGTCTGCAAGAATCAAAAGTTCAAAACCTATTACCTATATTAAAACCCATATCGGCATATCATTTTAGATTGTTCAAAAAATTAAAACCCATATCTTTCAGTTTCCATCGCCCACTGTTCTAGTTCGGGTTCGCCGTTAGCAAACTTTAACTGCTGGCCCGTTGTCTCTCAACTCTCGAGCAGGGCTAGCCATGGCCCAAGGCGACCGCCTCAAAATTTTGAGGCTCGTAGAGGATAGAATTTTTTTTTTTCTAAGTTAGGACAAGTCTTGGTCGCCTTGGGCGTCAAATTTTGAGGCCCACAGGGGATGATGGAAAAAAAAAAAAAAAAAAAAAACGGAGCATTAAGTTAGGGCAAGTTTCAGACGACACAATCTGCCTGCGTCCTGGTGAAAAGGTATGTTCATCCTCTCTCTCTCTCCTCTCTCCATTTGCATGAATCGATCTTTTATATATGTTTCTTTCTTTCGTTCAACTCATCATTTGATTTGTGCTAACTTTGGTTCGTTTGATTCGGGCCTTTACCTTTGTTCCAATAGTGAAAAGTAGCTTCCAAACTAGGGTTTTTTGTGTGTCACTGTGTGTGATGGCTATCAAAAGCTGAATGAATGTATTATGGTTCTCTTAGTATTTTAATAAATGTGTGCCTTTCTACATGGGTCTTTCATGGCGATCGAGTCCATAATCTATGGCAGACACTTTTTTTTTTCCTCTCCCTAATTCCACTCCAATCTCACAACAGCAGCAATCATACCCCTTTTCCTCATAAGTTTTTGCATTTTCACATTCAATCCTATGAAAATTAAGGATCCCTTCTAGTGGGTTGAGCCGTTGAGGTAATAATTAACTTTTTCGATCTCTAAATTATGCTCATACTTAAAAGTGCCAAATTTAGGTTTTTTTTTTTATATTTTATTTTTATATGAAGATACATCCCACCATTATTGATGTTATTGGAAGTTGGCTCGGCTAGAATTTCAGTTAATAATACTGTCAAAGCACTTGGCAACAGAATGTACAAACACATGGAAATCAAGAGCAGGATTTAACAAAAAAAAAGTTAATGGTTTTTTCTATTAATTTGCACTGGTCTTCTGTAGCAATGATCAATCAATCACTGCTACTAAAGTTGATTCCTCATCCTGAAATCAAGAAAGGGGTAATTGGCTCCCAAAAAACACACACATAAAGTGTAGTTAATATAAAGAGTGAAAGACAAAAATATATATGATAGTGGATGCCACATATAACCTAAAAGTCCCACTACTACCTCAGCATTACAAGTTCAGCCTCTTATATATACAGTCACCTCATCTCCACATATTTTTGTCATCTATAGTCATCAAATTTTAGCAGCTATATAAACAATGAATGTAAAAAAGAAGCTGCAGGTTTTTGTTCCCCATTTCCACTTTTGGACTTTATTTTGGATGCTCTGTTTTGTCTTCTCTCCTCTCCTTTAGATTCTAGTGAAAACTCCAGCCAGGAGATCATTCGACCAAACTGCTTGATTTTAGATTTTTATTTTTTATTTTTTTTATTATTATTATTTTTATTGTATGATCGGCAATGCTTAGTTATTATTGTTTCTGTTTGATTCTCTATCCGTTTTATGTTAATTGTGATCTTTTTCACATTCTAGTAGGACACTCTTCTTAGGATCTCGTGAGGTTATTTGCCTTGAACTTGAATCAAATCATTGCATATTGAGGTAATATATATTTTCTTTAAACAAAGCAAATTATTATTATTATTATTTTGAAGTCTAGTTTTATGTTGATTATGGTTCATGTTATTTAGATTTCAAGAGATTTCATTATGTCTACAAGAAAATTTGAATCTGGGCATGAAAAAAGGAAAAAAAAAGAAAAAAAAAAGAAAGAAGAATTGTTTCAATCTCAAAAGGGAGATAATCTTAAGTTTTTTAGGAGCAATACACAAATAGAGAGTTTAGTTGAAGATTCGGTGAATGAAGAACATATGAATGCGAAAGCAAATGAAGAAAATCTCAATAAACATGAAGATTTAATGAATGAAGATTATAGGAAGTTAGTCAATGAACATGAAGATTTAATGAATGAAGATTATAGTTATTAGTTAGTTGTCTTATGCACAATGCACATGCGCACAATTAAATTAGCTATAGAATTTGTAAACATCGTGTGAAAATTTCGCATTCTTATAATTTTTTTTGCGCGTGTGAAACTTGAGGGCCTCACATTTGAAAGTTTGCCTAGGGCCTCTCAAAATATTTGGAATCTTAGGTCCGGCCATGCTCTCAAGCTTGCCCCCCTTTATCTCTCTGCAACTGCTAACTTGTATGTATGGTTTTTGTTTTAATTTTTTTTTCTAAATCAACTAATCAAGGTCTGTAAATACTGTAATTCTTGTTTTGCAAACTAAATCCTATTTGGTGAAATTTTTTATGATCTTTTATATATATATATATATATATATATATATATATATTACAATATAAAGTAACAAAATTTGCGTTGCATTTTGAGGGAATCATTGCATTTCATTTTGAGGTAATCACTGTAATCTACATTTTATTTCAGTAAAACAAATATATATTTTTTATTTCTATAACTTCTATTTCTGTTTTTTTTTTTTTTTTTGTCAATTATGTCTACAAGAAAATTTAAATCTGGGCATGCAAAAAGAAAAAAAAAAAAACAATATGCATTGGACTGAATTGGATTAGAAATCTGCAGAGATTGAATCCGATACAATTTTTATCAACATGCCAAGCTTTTTGAAGATGGAAATCTTTTCTTTTCAAAACTAAAAAAAAAAAAAAATCATAACAAGAATTTTGACAAGCAAAAGTACTTAATATAGGGTAAAGCTCCAAAGTTACTTCTTGAAAATTAAAATACTTACAAAAAGTATGCTTTTGAGTGAATTCCATAGTGTTTGAAGGGGCTTGCCATGAACTACCTCACACTCTGCTTCCACTAGTACATTCTCAAATAGGATTAGTAAATTCTTCAAAAGAAGAGATAGGGTACTGAGTGGTGAATTGTTAAGAAATAAATTGGTAATTTTTTGAATTAATTACCCAAATAGAATTTTCTATGCCTTAATAAGTCAATTTTCTAAAGAAACATTGTTAATTAACTAAAATTGAATTAAACAACAGTTGATTTTGGTTGATAAATTTTGATTTAGCCCACCCCATTGAGAAATCCTGGATGTTTTGTTTCACATAGAAATACAATCTGTGTAATGCACGAAGGATATATTCAATCTTTCTGTCATATTTTATTTTCAAATTTTGGTTTTTGATTTTCTTTTGTTATTAGAATGCAGAATATCAGGATATTGATTTGTTAATTTTGAAGATTATCTACGGATAGGTGTCCAACATTTTGACTGAAAGCATAGTTGGATTGGGATGATACAAATAGTACTTAGATGGTAGTGTTTTAATTGTTATGAGTGAGATTTTGAAACCTCTTCCTCACAACTTGAGTGTTTTCTTATTTTTAGAGTTAGCATCGGGCCTTAACATTTAGCAAGAACAAGGTTTAAGAAACATGCCTCCTCAGTCATTAGGTAACAAACTCTTACTTTTTCTAACATTTTAATTGGCATTTTTAGCTATTGGTTATGTTTATTTATTCATGTTTTACATACTGATTTTTTGTTTTTGTTTTTGTTTGTACATACATATATATAATATTGTTATGATGTGATGCTCGAACAATTTATTAATGGGAATGAAAGACTTGGAGGTTTAGTTTCCAATTTCAGAATATATGTTTTACAAGTTTATTATCGTTTTTAAAAGTTTTCCTCTTTTGTCCTAATAATATAGGTCTCCTTTCTGAAAGAAGAGAGTTGATGGGAATGGGTGGAGTAAGGCAAAAGAAAATAGGTATTTTTTTTTTTTTTTTTGGCCTAGCTAATTGAATTATATAAATCCCTTTACCGTTGTTGGTTTTAAATGACCAATTGCGATAGGATGTCTCTTTTCAGTTTATCTTAATCAAATGTATATCTATGCAAGAGGATTACGTGATTCTAGATGAGGATGTTAATGTCAACGTTATAAGGATGTTGATGTCAATGTTGACTCTAGTGATGGCGACTGATGATATTGATAATATGTTGATGCACTCAAATTAAGTCAAAGCACTTAGAATTAAAGGTAATTTAGAGTTGAAGACATATTATTGAGCATAGTGTCTAATTATTTTAGATACAAGAATCTTTGGTCACTTCACACGCGATGTGTGTAATATGATTCATCTACTTGGGCTCTCTTCTTTTTCATTTCTCTAAACCCTAATTTTATCTGTGAAAAAGAAAAGAAGACTATGCAATTTTAATTTAACTTTATTAGTTTGAGCATTGATAGAGCTTCTGAAATGTTGAAACTAAAACAACAAAGAAGAGAGAGTCCACTAATAAGAATTACCCAACTTAGGACAAAATAAGCTCTGTCTTGACTAATATTGGCATGGGAGACTTCTATAGATGTGGACTTGTAGAGTGAAAGATATATGATTGGGGGCACAAAAATGTACGACAACTATGAACCAACGATAGGGTTGTGAGCTTTTGGCTTGTTTTATGCATCGGATCTAGGAAGTGTACAATGAAATGGAAAGCTCTGATGCACTTATAAGTTACAAACAAAGACAATAATTAATATTATATATTTATAACTTACTTTACTAATCTAATATGATACTAAGTATATCATACATATATATATATATATGTTTGTAACTTTATACTTAGACTTAGATATATTTTGATTTAGCCCACCCCATTGAGAAATCCTGGATCCGCCCTTGGTCTATACAACATCACCCATAACAAAATATATGATTTTCAAATACGGGTACCTTACAAAAAGAGGTGTTCTGGTTCTTTGTATGGTTTGGTTGTTCACTGTTGAAGAAAACGTGGGTGTAACTCTAATAAATCCCTTCTCTGGTTCTACCATTGGGCGTCCTCCCATTATGGACCTGCCAAATATCGTTGAATTACCTCTGGTTGAGTACCAAGTTTTCAAGGCTATATTGTCGGTTGACCCTGCTTTGTCTCCCGATGACTACATAGTTACTGCCATCTATGATGATTTCTGCCGATTGGCATTCTTTCAACCTGGTGACAAAGCTTGGACTTATCTAGAGAATACGAGGTTAAATTAATCTTTGATGTCATATATTACAAAGGCCAAATTTTTGTAGTAGATTATTATGGTAGAGTCATAATGATTGATGTGAATAGCAGGGACGGGGCAAGTAAAGATTCCCAAGTTGAAATAATTGCACCAAGGACCGAAGTGCATGCTGACCATACATATCTCGTGGAATCATCTAGTGGAGACTTGCTTATTGTGCAACGGTTTATGAAAGAAATAGGAGATGATTTACAACATGAAACTTCGGGCTTTGAGGTTTTCAAGCTGCTTCTACTGCCAAATAAGATGGGTGATGCTAAGCGGATTCGAGTGAAGAGCTTGGGTGGAGACACAATGTTTTTGTTAGATAGCCATTCTACTTGTATTTCAGCTTCAAACTTTAGGTAAATAATCTTCATCAATTTTAGTCTCACCTAAAGCCCTTTTTTTTTAAATCACACTGAGTATATTTTGTTTTCTTATTGTCCCTAATTTTCTATCTTTCACTGCAAAATTATTTATGTTATATTAACAAAGTTATCAATTTGGTGTTCAATTTCTTCGAGTAAAGTCTATAATTTAAAATCGCTAGTCTACTTGTTTTATACTATAATCCATTTTCCTAATCAACCGGTCTACCCGACCATATAGAACAAATCATATGGTTAAAATCTTCATCAATTTTAATCCTATTACAATTCACTCACCTAAACATGTCTAATTAAATTTGGTTCGGGTTACATTGTTTTGTTTTTGTTATGATTGGGGCTTCTTGTTATTTGGTTAGTAGGTAGATATTATTTTTTGTTCTGAAAACTCACTAGATTTTTTAATTGATTAGGTTCTCTTGCTTATTCTTATTGTAGATTTGTTGACGTAGGTTGCAGTGCTATAGTGCAAATAAATAAATGGTTTTTGATATGAATTCATCCGTGGAGTCGGACTGGGCATGGCTTCCTAAGAAGTTATTGGATGTGATTATGGACAAGTTAGATTCGCAATTGAACTATGTTTGCTTTGGTGCAATCTGCAAACCATGGCAATTTGTGGTAGTGGAGAACAAAGTTAAATATGTTAAAAATAAATGCTACACACAAGTTCCATTGTTGATGGTCCCTACAAAAGATAATAGCTAAGAAAGGCGCAGTTTATACAGCATCACCCACAACAAAATATATGATTTTCAATTACAGGTACCTTACAAAAAGAGGTGTTGTGGTTTTTCGTATGATTGGTTGTTCACTGTTGAAGAAAACGCGGGTGTAACTCTAATAAACCCCTTCGCTGGTTCTGTACTGAGTTTTCAAGGCTATATTGTCGGCTGACCGTGCTTTGTCTCCCGATGACTACATAGTTACTGCCATCTATGATGATCTCCGCCATTTGGCAGTCTTTCAACCTGGTGACAAAACTTGGACTTATCTAGAGGATGAGAGGTTTAATGTAATCTATGATATGTCATATATTATAAAGGCCAAATTTTTGCAGTAGATTCTTATGGTGGAGTCATAATGATTGAGGGACAGGGCAAGTAAAGATCCCCAAGTTAAAATAATTGCACCAAAGTGTATGCTGACCTTACATATCTCGTGGAATCATCTAGTGGAGACTTGCTTATTGTCCAACAGTGTATGAAAGAAATAGGAGATGATTTACAACATGAAACATCTGGCTGCAAGGTTTTCAAGCTGCTTCTACCGCCAAACATGAAGGGTTATACTAAGCGGATTTGAGTGAAGAGCTTGGGTGGAGACACAATGTTTTTTGGGGATAGCCATTCTACTTGTATTCAGCTTCAAAGTTCCTTGGATGCTAGCCAAATTCCATATACTGATAATTATTATATGTTTTTAGCTTACCCACCGTATGGGCGCCGTGATATTGGTATCTTCAACGTAGAGAATGGAAGCTTTGGCACACATTACATTCTTGATCCTTCACATAGGGAGAAGCTGCCTGCAATTTGAATCGTCTCAACTGTGCGTGGAAATTGAGTATAGACATGATTCTTTTGATTGCCTTTTGGTCAAAATCTAGTTTAATTTTGAATTAACATATCAAAAAAAAAAAAAAAAAAAATGAATTTCAATTTTATTACCTTGTTGTTGGCTTGTTTCTGCTTTGCTACTTGGCGAACTCCCCCATTCGGATACGCTATTTCACAGAATATCATGATTCTAATAATTATTGTGGTTGTTTCTCATAAGATGTGTTTTTGTGGTATGATAAATTTGTTTTTAGCTCATACTCCTGTTGTTCTCATAGCAAAGTGCACCTCAGCTATAAGCATTCAACTAAGTTTAACTGTAGCATGTTATAGGATCCCAAATAGGCTCACTTGCGTGCTGTAAGATAATTGGATTTGAGTTGCGTTGCTTTCCGGGGCCCCTAGCCCTCCAGCATGTGCTAGGTAACATAGACCTCTGACCTCAGTATCATGAATAATACTCTTTTTGCTGGGATACTTTTATACAACATAATCCATCTTTGCAACAGTTGTCCTGGTTGGTCCGTTTAAGGCTTAGTAAGACTGCACTATCTCATGTTTATTAATCAAGGTATGATATATATATATATATATATATATAGAGAGAGAGAGAGAGAGAGAGAGAGAGAGAGAGAGAGATATGTATGTGTATGTATAATCTGTTTTGCAAGTGCATTTGTTAGTTCACGAAGCAAAGATATGTGCTAGGTAACATAGAGCTTTGGCCTGTTTGCTTCTTGTTAATTATCTCTCTGTTCGTCGTTATTCGCATTTGGAACTCTATTGAATGTGTATTTTGTTAAGAACTGAAATCAGTTCAATGCCAATTTTAGTACATGGAGTTTGTTAGAACATTGTCACTATTTGTAAACGCTTCACTTATGCAACTCATTTTGTTCAAAACTGAAATCAGTTTAATGCCAATTTTAATTACGCTCTCTCTGCTTCCACTCGTTCCGGTCACAGCAACATAGCATTCTCCTTCAGCCCCACTGGCTGTCTCTCTCACCAAATCCTCTCTACTGCCTGCTTCAGCCACCACCGGCATAATGTATAATTTCGTTCTCCCTAGCCCTCAAAATTTATTGATCATATATATATATATATTTTTATCTTCCATCTCTGTTATCCCACTGAATTTAAGTCTCACTCCACCTAGAAGAAGAGATTACGTATAGCTTCCATCTCTATTTCTTGAGTTTGGTCTTTCTTTTTTCGAAAAAAAAAAAATCAAAAATAAAAATAATAATATTGAGTATAGACTTAGTTTCTTTTGATTGCCTGCCTTTTGGTCCAAGGTAGTTTTATTTTGAATTAACATATCACAAATAAAATAAAAAATAAAATAAAAATGTATTTTATTTTTATGGCCTTTTTTTTTTTTTTTTTGGCTTGTTTCTGCTTTTTGCTACTTGGAGAACTCCCCCATTCGGATACTCTATTTCACAGAATATCATGACTCTAATTGAGCACAAATCAGTTGCAGCAGTTGATCCCAATTTGTGATTGCAGTGTAGAATTTGCATTTAAGCTTGATGAATCTCCAGATTGGAGACACAAAACTGCAGTTGAAGAAAAGATGGTGGTGGGATTCAGGATGATTTTTGCATATATCGCATATGTTGTCATGGGTGGACATTAATCTGCTGTCAAGAGTGGATAATCTGGATTGGACTGCTAACCAGAGGTTGAGTTCCATTCTAGGGATTGTAAGGGGAGATCCAAACTAGATTGTGCCAATGAACTAGTGGTGCCTGCTCTGTGAGGAACATTGTTGTATGCCTGAAGTTAGACAGCCCATTTGGTGATGCCAGCCAATGCTTAGAATCCTCTCTAGAAGGGCAAGGAGGAGGGAGTTGTAGCAGCTCTGGTATGGCAGATGAGAGAGAATTGGGGAATGACCAAGATGAATTGTTGATGAAGGTGTCAAAATTAATTGAATCATTGAATCCTGCATTGTTGAGTGCTGAGAGGGAAACGAGTGCAAGGAGGACCACCAACGGACCAATAATCATGCCAAAAAGAAGTCTGTGAGCCACTGCCAATTCTGTGTTCGAGGAGAAGTAATATTTCTTGTAAAATATATTGAAGATGTTCATGTAAAACAAACAACTCATGAATATAGTAAAACTCTTCACTTGTACCCTTGTCAGTGGCCCTCTACTTAATTTTTCCATTTTTACCTCAAGAGGAGAGTGTGAATACTTGGTGATATTTTGAATAAGTGATACCCATTTGAAGAACTTGTGTCACTTTATTTTTTATTATTTTTTTTAAAAAATTACGTGGAGAGGCAAAAATACAATAGAATTACTGCAAATATCATTTTACTTACAACTCGTAATACAAAATGCAAGTTAAATTGTTTTTACAAGTTATTTCCATAGTTAAATAGTGTTTAAATTGTTGTTTTCATATATAACATTTGGGCATACAGGCTATTAAAAATAAAACCTACAACACTAGTAGCCATCTACCAAAATCTCATATGACATTAAAACGACCATTGTGTTGAAACTCTGCCGAATCTCACCAGGAAAAATAGACAATCTTTTTTTACCTAAATTCCCCAACTCTTACAATTACCTTTCACACCCAAAAAATAAAAATTAAAAAAAATCCCCAATTTGTTTCTTTAATCCCAATTTCCGCAACTAATTGTTCTACTCTCCAACTTTCTAAATCTTGGTTTCAACTACTAAACCTATCATTGCTTCTAATATAGCGTTTAAAAAAATTGAATTATTAACTAAGAACTGTGCCAGAATTGACTACAAGCAACTATCTGATTCAGACACGGCTGGTGTGGGCTGTAATTGAATCCACACCTAACATGTTTGAGTCAATAATCACGTTACAATTATTGTACAATAGCAGACTTGCCCATGCTACAAACTAAGATTTCTAGAAGAGTTCCAGCAGTCTATTGATGAATCCCAGCTTTCTAAATCTTGGTTTATCTCTTGAGCCTATATCATTGCTTCTAATATAGCTTTTAAAAATATTGAATTATTAACAAAAAATTGTGCTATAATTGAGTACAACCGATTATCTGACTCAGACACAGCTGGTGTGGGCTATAATTGGATCCACACCGAACATGTCTGAATCAGTAGTCACGTTACAATTATTGTAAAATAGCAGACTTGACAATGCTACAAATCCAAAAAAGATCTCACTATGATTTCTAGAAGAGTTCTAGCAGTCGATTGATGAAGATTTTCACAATAAATATATAGTCGACACAATATAATTATATGTCAAACACTTGTTCAATGAAATAGACACAAAGCAATTAAAGTGAAACTTTGGTGAGTCCTACATAAACTAGTCCAGAATGTAAAGAGATTTGTACAAATAGAGTATCAAAAAATTAAAATCAATAAAAGGATCTTGATCATGTAAGTGTGTCTGCACGTGTTACTTACCTAACCAAAAATTTGAAGAGTCCAACTATAGGATCAAAGTGAAAATTAAAACCACAAAAGGATGATCGTTATTGAGCATGTAACGTGTTGCTTACCTATCCAAAAAATGAAAAAAAGAAAAAAAAAAAAAATAATAATAAAGAAAAAAAACATATATGCGTCTGAAATTAAGGTAGAAATACTTGCCCCCAAATATAAATAAATAAATAAAATAAGGTAGAAATTACAATGATCATTGTTGCTACATGCTATTGTGCTTAGATCTTTAGATGTATATATATATTAACAAGAAAAATTCATGATTTAGAGTGAGAGTATTCTCTTTTGCTATATTCAGAGAGCATTGAAGACAGCTGATATCTTTAAATCCCTTTAATATGCTAGAGAAAGAGAAAGAAAGAGGATCTATTCTCCTTTGCTAAATTCAGAAAATCTTGAAGAAAGTAAATTAATCACCTTTTCATTTCAGATGTAAAAAACCATAATCTCAATATATTTCGTGGACTTACTAAACAAAAACAAAATTAATCCATGAGATTCCATAATAACTTACACCCATACTCAATTCAAGAGCATACATATACAAACATAAACAGTCTTGATATATGTGGAATGTAATTGTGTGTACATATATATACATGTATCAACATATTATATTTTATAAAACATAGAAATCTGACCTCGAAGCCATAACAAAAACTTGGAGCTACTGATGGAGATTTCCTAAGGGATCGCATGATCCGATAAATGAACCAAATAAACAGCAACCAAACCATGCATAAAGCCATAAAAGTTCAACTGAAATCGGATCAATGCGATCCCTTTGGAAGTCTCCACCAGCATCAATGATCGAACTACCATTAAAGCTTGTTTGGAGAGGTCTTGAGGTCCAAATAACAAGACTTTGTTTGAGTTCTTGATATATATATAGATGGAGAAGACAAGAAGAAGAAGAAGAAGGTGTTCATCAGTATTTTTCGTTCTCGTTTGGCCGGTTGTTTGTGTATGTAATAATGTTCACGCATTTGGTGTGATCAAAGGTAGTTAATTAGAGAGACCATGTGTGAACTAAACTTTTCATAAAGGTCGTGGTGGAAGTACTGAAATACCCTTGTGGGATATAGTATGATATGATGTATTTTTCCACTCAACATCATAAACCAGGCTTATATCCATTAATGTCAAATTTTCAATAAAGAAAAAACAAGTGATGAGATCACTGTTAGAGGTTGTGGAGCCTGATTATTAGTTCGGATTATAGTACTCGAAAAGTTTGACTGGTCACACTATTTAGGACCGATCATATTTATCGTAGTAAAGACTTTTGAATTTTTGAATGGTTCAAACTTCTAGATAAGTTCAACCGATCACACTATTTGCAACCGGTCACACTTTGATGTAAGTTGCGAGATTAAGTTTCCGTGTTTGATTTCCTCTGGAAGAGGGTTTATATACTAACCCTACTAAGATCCTACACAAAAGAGAGAGAATTGTATTGTCCTTCCATAAGAGAGAGATATTGAGAGAAAAATTCTCAATTATAATTGTTTACCTTTTTCATAAGCACGTTTGAAAAAGAAAAAAAAAAAATACATAATTTTTGGTATAGTTTTGATAAGCCCGTTTCGCGACTCACAAAGATTCGTTCCCAATTGGAATCCACCAAACTATCAATACTCACCGGCTATGCTCATTATATAAGTCATTCTGCAGCCAAATGTCATCGTTTAGGGCTCCATTTTTTCAGCTTTCAATGTGATTAAAAGTTTGTCAATTTTTTTTATAGTATTTATTTGTGGTTGAATTGGACTCTAATTTAGTTAATTTTTTGTAAACTTATTTTAGTGATTGGATTTTTTTTTTTTAATTATTTATAGAGGTGGTGAAAGATTGGGTTACTTTAGGATTCAATGATTCATTAATTTAATTACTATTATAATTGACTGTACTACACGGTAGATTTTACACATCAATAATATTCTACCGTTTTCTAAAACTTGTTATTTCCAATAAAAACTAAAATGATTCTCAATTTTGCTTCTGTGTTGTTAATTGGTATCAGAGTTTTATTTTTTCTTAGTTTAATGTTGAACAGCGAAATATTTACTACAACTTGTTTCTTTAATCCCAATTCCATTAACTAATTGTTCTATTCCCCAACTTTATAAATCTTGGTTTCATCTCCTAAACTTATCACTTATAATACAACGCGTAAAAAAAAAAAATTATTAATAAAGAATTGTGCGAAACTTGACTATACCCGACTATCTAACTTATGTATAATTGGCGTGAGCTGTAATTAAACCTACACCTAACATGCCAGAGTTGATAATCATGTCATAATTATTATACAAAGAATTGTGCTAAACTTGACTACACCCGACTATTTGACTTAGACACAACAGGCATGAGCTATAATTAAATCTACACTTAACATGCCAGGGTCAATAATCACGTCACAAGTATTATACAATAGCAGCCTATACACAAATATACACACACAGATTATAATGTCTATAAAGGAACACTAGTAAAGAGTAATATGTTTGCCAACTTTGCCTGTTTTGTGCAAAGAGCATAAATAATACTCCTATCTTTCATTCTTTTCAGCTAAACAAAATTAGTCCTGTAAAGATTCCGAAATTTTGCCTACCCTAAGAATAGTGCTTGCAGGACCAGCCTCTATGGTATGCCCAGCACATTGATCTGTCGAAAGCTTGTTCCCTTTTGTTTTCTCGTTTTAAATGATGGGAAATCAGATATTGACACGTGTCTTTGGGCATACCATATATTGACACGTGTCTTTGGGCATACCATATTTTGACTTATTCAGTCACTAAATAAGGATATGCTAGAAATAATGAGGACATAAAAGATAATGCAACGTGAAATGGTGTCATGGCAGGTAAGAGTTGCAATCAAACAGCTAAGGTTTGATAGGAAGACAAATTGCACTTGTTTGATCAAAGAAAATGACAATTCTTATTTTCTCACTTTTCTATTATTTTCAAAATTTTCACGTTATCCCATCCACAAAAATATTTATCATGTTCAACTTAGAATCTTTCATCGATTTTATTTTTGTTTCGTTTTTCAATTTTGAAACACCAATTTGATACTATCGAATATAAATTTTCTAAATTTGATTAATCAGACAATCACGTGTATATCTTATAAAATTCCTTAATCAGGGACAATTCTCATTTTCTCACTTTTTTATTATTTTCAAAATTTTCATATTAACACACCCAACAAAAGATTTGTCGTATTCAATTTAGAATCTTTCATCAATTTTACTTTTGTTACGTTTATCAACGGACCAGCGGCCTAACAGTATCAGTCTCTTACTTTTTAAATAGAGGTGAGAAGTTCAAGTCTCAGAAGAGACAAGTGTAAAAAAATTTCTTTTGTTACATTTTTCAATTTTGAAATGACGAATTTAATACCATCAAATATAATTTTTCTTAATTCGATTAATCAAAGAATCACGATGTACGTCAGATTCCTTAATTAAAATTAAAATTTTCTTACAATTTTACCTTAGTATATAATTAAGGTAACAGCCATAAAATTCAAACATGTATGTAGGTAATGTAACAATAAAATTCAAAATTAAATAAATATATAAATATATAAAATAAAATTGAAAAATGAGCTTTTAAGGGCATATATGTCAAACAACTGTACAATTTGATTTTGATCTAAAATGATAATGGTTTGGTCTTAATTTCAAAAATAATGGAATCATTAGGATTGACTATGTGTATATGTGGTTTTATTTGATTGGTTGGTGAACTAGTGAGCATAAGATATTAACCAAAACTTTAGATCAAATAATACATAGAATTTTACACACAATCATCCAAACAATGATCATAATTCAAGGGTTAAATCAATTAGAATTGGTGATGATTTATGCTCTAAATCAAATCAAATCAAATCACTTCAAAGGTGTAATTAGTCCTAATGTTAAGTACTATTTACCAACAAATATAAATAAATTTGAAAAGATATATGAGAGGGACATATTGCATGATCCGAAATAATTACTTGGTTGGACTCGTCAAAACGAAACAACCTTGATGGTGCCCTAATTAGTGTTCCATACGCATTGAAGTCTTCTCTCTCACACACAAGCACACAGTATAAAGCAAAGCTCATGTGGAAGTGGTGGGAGGTGAGAGTTCAAAAACCACCATAACCCAGATTCCAAGCAAATCACAGCACACGAGTATGCATGACCCGCATGAACCTGTCACTATACATTCACGTCTATATGTCCCCTTGATTTGGAGCAGATGGGGTCACAGTGTTTCATGATCGTAACATAAATAGCAAAAGCTTGAGATGATTTATTTGATTTTCTTGGCAACTCTCCTTGTTGTCAACTTTGGGATACCTTCGATTTCTTTTTTTCCTTTCCCTTTTCCTTCCCTTTCCTTCCCACTTGTAAAGAGGATTCCATGTCGGCATCACGAAGACTTGCAATGTGCAGAAGTCATGGAAACCTACTGCAAAAGTTGTGGTCCAAATGATGTTTCTGTCTAGGCACTACAACAAAAGGAGTTTTTAGTTACGTACAGAATCATTTTTGCAGTAAATATTACGTCATCGTGATTCGTTTCTGACCTAATTTGTTTCGCGAGTCTTGGAGCGAATTCTAATCTCTATTGTAGTCTGGTATATAAGGGTGTTAAGATTTATAGCATGAAATAAGATAACACGAAAAACTAAAATAGAGAGTAAAAGAGAGATGAAGAGTTAGAAGTTTGAGAACTTGTAATTAATCTCCGTTTTCTTTGCATAGTAAAATCTCATTGTCTATCTTTATATTTTCATTGGTATATAACCAAAAAAGGAAGAATTAGTAGTAAATAATACTAAATAAAAAATAAAAAATTCAGTTCTGCAACTATATTTAATATATGTTGTCTAAAGTCTAAACAATGATTCTAGAAAAAATTTGACAAGTGATTTCTAGTCTTTTCACCTTGGTATGCTTTTGGTCTTCCCCAACACAGTGTCACTAGCCCTTGTAATTAATTCCCACTTAAATCTGATTTTAAAGTTAAACACCATCCCTATTTATTTATTTTTATTTTTTTCCTTAATATTAAAATATACACAGGATTATAATATAAAAAAAAAATTATACACAAAAAAAAAAGTGCATAACTTAGGCCTACAAAAAAAATGGTCTCCAAGCCCACAGATTAACATTACATTGGATTACCCCAAACCAAGAAAGAACCCATAAAAAGCAGCCCAACTCAAGACAAACAAGCCCAGACCCTCAACCCACTTCAGTATCATATTATCAACTAACCTAACTAATCAATACCAGACCTGAAAGGGCCAGGCCCAATGTATTCCTACCCTATACTCTTAGGTTCAAATTCTCTTCTCGTATCCCCCACGAACTCCTAACTCTTCAAAGAGCGATGGAGGAAGGTTCCACTCGAAGGCAATAGTTTGAGTACTGACATACACTGCCACGTTACCAATGTGTAAAATTGTTGTGTATTTTACATATTTTTTTTACACAGATACATCAATATATTTCATTTCTTCTACATATTTTTCATTAATCAACCCTATATTAAGTAGGTTTGTAAAAATTATGTGGGTTCTAGGCATGACACTTGTTGGTTGTTATTAAATGATATATTTTAACAAAATAATAACTAGAGCTAAAAATAAATAAATCAAATTTTTTATGTAAATTTATTATGACACATTAAATTTACATTAAAAAAATATATATACATAACTTGGAGATGCTATGAGATTATTAAAAACTAGATGCCCTTCAAGTGTCTCATTATTGTTTAATTAATGTGAATTGTATGTAATATTCAATTGAGCTATATACTACTTGCGCTGAGCCAGTTTTGAGTTTACCTTGTGGTAAAGCGAGAGAGGTCGAGGATGCATGTCATTGAAGGAGGAAAATTTGTGTGTGCTTGTCACCACAAAAATTAAACCAAAATAGAAAGAAAAAAAATAGAATAAACTTGCAGGTAATTCAGAACCTTATGCAGCTTTTAAATAGCAATTAAAGCTTTTAATATGCACTATTAAAAAAAAAAAAAGCTTTTAATATGTATATATTTTTTTCTTTTTATAATTGTTTTTTAAAAAACTATTCAGATTGAGGTTCCCTAAACAATTCTAGAGTCAATTAATTTGAGTCAGCTTAAATCGATTAGGCCTTAAGAAAAAACTTTTAACGTAAATTAACTTGTATTCTTCAAAATAATTTCATGATTCATAAATATGAAAAAAAATTTATTCGGTAAAAATTAAAAAAAATAAAAAAATAAAAAAAACCGCAAAAAGTGTTCAAACTACTTGTCCCATGAATTTGGTACAAGTCACGGGGATCCAAAATTTAAAAGGGCGAGCGCACGTGTGAGTGGCAGAAGATCCAACTCAATATAAAAAGACTATTTTACCCTTATTTAAATTGTCCACCCACTCACACCATGTCTCTGGTCTGCAACTATCACACAACATCACAGAAGTCTCCCCCTCTCACTCTCCAGGCCGCGCCGCCGCAGTCCTTCCACCACCACAACCGCGGCAGCCTGGCGATTTCTGGGCACAGCCCACTTCTGCTGCTTCACCTTCACAGCCAACGGGTAAGGAGGCGAAGATCAAGAAAGTGACGAATTTTATTTTACACATCACTCGACACTGAAAAAAAAGAGGAAGAAGAAACCTCCCGCGGATATGGTTACCCAAAACGGCATCAAGCTCGCCGTTCATCTAATCTCCTCTTACTTTGGTGATAATGTCGCGGTAACATTTCATCTCTCTGTAGAAATTCCTATCCGCTGTTTGGTTGCTGATAAAAGGAGGGAAAGCGATAGACTGTTTTTTGGAATTTCAACCAAAAAACACCCTCCTCCTTTGATCAGTTTTCACAGCAACCAAACTGATTGTTATCAATTTGTCTAAATTTTGACGGAAAAACTGAAATTTTTCTTGTTAACAGAAAGTATGTGAGTGTCTTCTCCGCAGAGGAACCCTACCATTGGCACAAATAATACAATATACTGAACTTGAGAAAGAAACTGTTCGATGCTCTCTGCTCGTATTAATCCAACACAATTGTGTTCAAGCCTTTTCAATCATACAGGAAGGTATCATCATTATACTTACAGTTTTTTGTTTTCATTCTGTTTGGTTGCCAAGAAATTCTGGAAAAAGAAAAAAGGAAATAGAAAGTTAGGATCTTTGATATCAGAGTAAGGTAAGCTGAGGAGTACTATTAATTGGCGATGAATACCTAAAATGCTGAAGAAATAAAAGGCAGATACAAAATCAATTCTCTAGTATCAGATTAAAGTAAGCCTAATAGTAATAATTAGCTCTAGAGTTTGAGGGAAAAGAGCAATTGTGGGTGTGTGCTTGTCCACTCTACATTTTTATTGGTAACCGAACAGAGGGTAAGGCCAATTTCATGAATTCGTTTCCTTTGCTAAGTATAATTTCATGATGTTGATTATTTATATTTGAATGTAGGTGGGTTTGGAAAGGCATCGAGGGTTATAACCCAGTACATGGTGTTGTTTGATAACATAATCCACCATATGAGGTTTCCTAAGTTTTTAGCGATGGTGAAGTATCTTGGTAAAGAAGTGAGTTGGATAGATTTTTAGTTTGATTTTCTATTGATATGTTTTGTTCAAAGTTAGAATGAGTAGCTTATTGTTTGGTTGCATTTTGGCAGTGCGAAGATATAATTGAAGGGTTGCTTCAACACGGTAGACTTTCCTTGAAACAAATTTCAGACAGGCACAAGGATACTTCTAATCAAAGTGCAGGCAAGTTTATTGTGCATATTTTATGTATTTTCATTGCCTCTTTGCTTCAAACATGTCCTTCATTTTTTAATCTTATATTATATTAGATGTCTGTATATTGAGTTTACCCTGCGAATGTACTTTGGTACAAATTGGAGCTGATGTAGGATCAAAACTGTAGTAAATTTGTAAAATAACATATACAATTAAATTTCATTATTCTAAAAGAAACAATCTTCTTTGATAAGGTACAATTGTCCCTCAAATTGAGTTCTTCACTTAAAAATTAAATTTCTTGTTGTTTAGGTATCCATGAAATCTTTCCTTCAGGATCTAATAGCTGAAGAATAATTTTCAACTTGCGCATACAAGTGTTGAGGTTATGCCTTTGTACATATAGAATTTTCAATCTGCTCCACACTTCTAATCTTTAATCCACAATATATCTCTCTCTGAGCACTAGAATTCTATATCTCCATCTTTAATCCTCCCTTTTCCTATGATGCACAACTCACTTTTTTTTTTCTTTGAAGAAGGATCACAATTCTAAAGCGCACAATTCTCTTGTTTATTTGGTTTAATCTAATTAGTAATTATCAATTAGTTTTTGATTTGGAGAGCCTAACTGAAAATAGTTCAAGTTCCAAAGTGAAGACAAGTTTCATTCATTAATTTTTAATTATTGCAAGCAAGGACTTTCTAGCTTTGATGAGTCCTAACTAATTTGACTTATGAAAAATTCTTAATTGTATACATTGTAAGAAGGATTGAGGGATACGCCAGAACACATGCACATTTTTTTTGTTTTGTATAATTGTCGTGTTTAAATAAATAAATTTTTTCTTCAATTTCTATGGAAATCTTGCTCAATATAAAAATTCATCGAGGACAATTGTAAATGTAATAAATGAAAATTTTATCAATCTGTATTAAGTTCTTATATTTATTATTTCTTCCAAAAAAATTTTATACCACTCAACTGAAATCTACAACGTCGCCCCACTCAACTAAATTCCTGGCTCTGTCACTGTTGTTATGTGCAAAGTATATACTGAATTGTCCTTGTTTGTCCAAATGAAAATATAAATAAGTTTTAAATGGAAAAACATCGAACAGAAAGCTTGAACTGAATCTGCATCATATGGAGTATGGGAAAAACTCCATCAGGTGAGAAAAATCCAAGTAGTTAATAGGGGGCATGTGACAAGTATTCCACTAAATCCAAGAAAGTATTAGATGCCAAATCAAAGAAAGTATTAATGAAACGCTTAGCATGGCATCACTAGCATGTGTCAAATAGTGATTCATTTGCAAGTATTACCCATGGTGCAATGTATCCAAAATAGAATACCAAGATGACTACTGTTGAAATGTGAAATCTTATATTCATTTATGCTTTGAATGATACAGATTTAGTCAAATTACAGCCAAAAAAGGAAAAAAGGAAAAAAAGAAATCAAACACGACATTATAGTTGTTGAAATGTGAAATCTTATATTCATTTATGCTTTGAATGATACAGATTGGTCAAATTACAGCCAAAAAAGGAAAAAAACGAAATCAAACATGACATTATAGTCATTGTTAGGATACACTCTTTGATGAGGATGGACATTATAGTGGGCTACATGAATTTCGAAGCAGATGCATCGTTCATGACATCGTTGAATCTTGAAAAGAAAAATAAGAGAATACCAAGATGACTACTGTTGAAATGTGAAATCTTATATTCATTTATGCTTTGAATGATACAGATTTGGTCAAATTACAGCCAAAAAAGGAAAAAAAGAAGTCAAACACGACTTTATAGTTGTTGAAAAGGAAAAATTGAAATCAAACACGACATTATAGTTGTTTTCAAACACGACATTATGGCTGTAATTTGACCAAATCTGTATCATTCAAAGCATAAATGAATATAAGATTTCACATTTCAACAGTAGTCATCTTGGTATTCTCTTATTTTTCTTTTCAAGATTCAACGATGTCATGAACGATGCATCTGCTTCGAAATTCATGTAGCCCACTATAATGTCCATCCTCATCAAAAGAGTGTATCCTAATAATGACTATAATGTCGTGTTTGATTTCTTTTTTTTCCTTTTTTTGCTATAATTTGACCAAATCTGTATCATTCAAAGCATAAAGGAATATAAGATTTCACATTTCAACAACTATAATGTCGTGCTTGATTTCTTTTTTTCCTTTTTTGGCTGTAATTTGACCAAATCTGTATCATTCAAAGCATAAATGAATATAAGATTTCACATTTCAGCAGTAGTCATCTTGGTATTCTCTTATTTTTCTTTTCAAGATTCAACGATGTGATGAACGATGCATCAGCTTCGAAATTCATGTAGCCCACTATAATGTCCACCCTCATCAAAGAGTGTATCCTAATAATGACTATAATGTCGTGTTTGATTTCTTTTTTTCCTTTTTTGGCTGTAATTTGACCAAATCTGTATCATTCAAAGCATAAATGAATATAAGATTTCACATTTCAACAACTATAATGTTGTGTTTGATTTCTTTTTTTCCTTTTTTGGCTGTAATTTGACCAAATCTGTATCATTCAAAGTATAAATGAATATAAGATTTCACATTTCAGCAATAGTCATCTTGGTATTCTCTTATTTTTCTTTTCAAGATTCAACGATGTGATGAACGATGCATCTGCTTCGAAATTCATGTAGCCCGCTATAATGTCCATCCTCATCAAAGAGTGTATCCTAATAATGACTATAATGTCGTGTTTGATTTCTTTTTTTCCGTTTTTTGGCTGTAATTTGACCAAATCTGTATCATTCAAAGCACAGATGAATATAAGATTTCACATTTTAACAACTATAATGTCGTGTTTGATTTCTTTTTTTCCTTTTTTGGCTGTAATTTGACCAAATCTGTATCATTCAAAGCATAAATGAATTTAAGATTTCACATTTCGTGTGACAGCCCAAGTTTTTCAACCCGGTGCGTCAGTGACGAAACGAAAGTTGACCTTGTAACGGATCCGAAATGCAGAAGTGAAAGATAAACCAAAGTCTCTAGAGATATAAACCATCTCTAAGACACCAATGTGACCTTCCATGAAGTCACGGAACTTAGAGAGAACGAGAGCGGAAGCAAATGTCAAAATGGGCAAAATCCATTAACCAAGGGGCAAAATGGTCAATTCACAAATAAAATGATAAACTTGACTCTAAACAAGTCAAACAAGGTGAATGCAACCTAATCATTTCACAACATTCCAAGAGGTTCTAAGAACTTTGGCCAAAAATCCCACAAAAATGCCCATTCCCGGTTTAAGCAAAAACTGACACTACCTCACTAAAACATGAATAACTCCCACTGTGATTGGAATCTGAAAATGGCATTAGTACCATTGGAAAGCTGACTCAAAATCCTTGAGTTTAGGCTCAAGAATCACCCCATTTAAATTAGAAATGAAGGAGTTATAACCTTTTGAAGTTGGAACATCAGTGCTGAATCATAACAGAGAGGCTGTGTGCATGCAAGCTATTTCGGTCGACCGAAATGGACAGAAATTTTGCTGAAAACATATTTTTGAGGGGAGGTCATTTCGGTAGACCGAAATGAGCCATTGGTCGACCGAAATAGACCTAAACAGTGAAAATGGCTACTGGAATGGGTGATTTACTGTGCATTGAAGTTTCCAAAAGCCATTGGTCGACCGAAATGGTGTTTCGGTTGGCCGAAATGACTCGAAAAGCTGTTAAAGGCCTGCTATATGCCAAATGTGTTAAGGTTCAACCCATGCTTCAAATCCCCTTATGAATTGGTTCAAAAACGAAGGTTTAAAACTGATTTTCAATGAGATGTGAATATGTGAACATGTCAACAACCTTAAAATGGATAAATGAATGTAAAACAATGGCTTATGGCCTCATACATATTAATTACAAGAATTTCATATGCCAAACCTCCAAAGTTGGTTAAAATACGTTTTTGTAACAAAAGTTGGTACCAAACAAATACAAGTACTAAAGTAAACATGCTTGGCCCCTTTACATACATGCTTATAATATCAAAAGTAAGTACTTAGGTATCATTACACGTCAAGGAAGCTACGTTAGAGTCTAAAATACCATACACCTATGGTATACAAAATATGACATCAAAAGTAAGGCATGCTAAACATTTGCATGTCAATATACAAAAATGCTTCAAATTGCTCATAAGTTTCTAAGGATGATGAGCATCCAAGAACATAGGCTCCTTACCTGTAAAACAACCCATGTGTGCAAGGGTAAGAGTCATTGCACCATAAAAGCTTGGGCTATCAACCACGTGAATATGACAGCCTGAGAATGTGGATTCGAATTGTGAGATCAATCACGGTATGTAATTAATGCTAAAGATTAGGTATGTATCCAACCTACTCTTCCCAATACCCTCGATTAACAGGGACCTCACTAGATGATGACCTTATCAATATGATTATCTGATGAGGCGATAATTAAGATCATCAAATATTTGGTATTTTAGTAAAAACACTATACTTAGTTGCAATAATGGGAGGCATGTACATGCATATTTGAGATAGATTTGGTCAAGCAGTGTTTAATGAAATCATAGTCGGTTTGGAAGCCCCTTGTGGTATTTGTGTTCACCATTTGTGTCCCTTGTTTTCAAGTGTTATATGAGGTTTCTAGATGTAAGGGGAAAAAAAAGTTCAGGGATGCAGAGTGGAAAAAAGCATGTGTGGGATGAATTTATGTAACTTAATAAAGGCTTTGCTTACCACATTCGCTTGTCCTACTTGGTGTAGAAACCACAGACTTCTTCTAGTGGCTTTGGAGTCTCTTGTCTTATTGGTGTAGAAACATTTGACTTCTTTTACTTTTTATAATAATGAATGTCACATGTTTTGTGATCACTTGTTGGGTTGTTTTGTATTGTTTGGCTTCTGGGTCATATTTTATTTAAATTTACATTTCAATTCCAAAATCTTATTTAAATTTACATTTCAATTCTACAATCCTAAAAATCTTATTCCA